ATCTGCAAAGGTTCTAAAAATGGACATTGTGAGTTCATGTTGTGAGTCACCGGGGATGCAATAAGACGTGTTTTGGATCTATTTTGGGACGGGTGAGGTTTCACACAAAGCTGTGAGGAGACAGAGACTAAATCTGAGGTTTACGCACGGTGAGGTGGTCAGCGAGGCCGACATGTGAGTCAGGACCCTATGCATGCATGTCTGTCTGTATGTCTGTCTGTCTGTGACTCATGTTGTTGTCTCCGGAACAGAGCAGCTGGCAGAGCAGCTGTTGGGTCATGGCGCTGCGCCCCCTGCTGGCCGGGAGATGACCTGCAGCTTTGAGCAGAATGAGGCGCTGCTGCCATCTGCTGGCCAACTCTGAGAAACCCTACAATCTACCTCAGAAACATTTTCAGACTCCTTCCGTTTCTTATGAGTCACTTTGTTGGTCTAAGGAGTCATTTTATGTCTTCCATTTAATCCTTTTAGATCATTCTGTGAGTCCATATAGTTAATTTTATTGTGCCGAGGAAGTTTTAATGACACAAAACCAGTATTCAGGTAGCAGTAACAATGAAGATATATTCGGTTTCTTCTATTCTACAAGGTATAGCAAAAAGCAAAAAAAAACCAAACATTTTATAGTTCACTATGATGAAAATTTTTAATAAATTAGTCCCTATAACATATCAAGAGATAAAGGAGTTCCTACATAAAGTGTTGCAAAGAAACCATTTGTAAAACTTCTAAAATCAGAGGGGTACCCTTTTTGTACTTTTTTTAATTTAATTTTATTTAGTCTTTATATATATAAATTTAGATTTTTTAGGTGGAAGCAAGTAGAATTGTGCATCTGTAGAGGAAGCTGTGACTGTTACTCACTAAGCAAAGATTTCAGAGTTCATCATTATATATAGCATTTTTCTTCAAATGGAAACAATTTCACCAGCTGCCTCATTTACCCGCACAGCTATGATGGCATTTAGCTTTCAAGTGAAAAGCCACAATAAAGACTTGAAAGCATGACTCAGCAGCTATAAGGCAAGCTGATGAGTCGTGATCCTGCAGGGAACAAAGACACAACACACACACACACATTCTGACAAAGATGCATACACTTCCCGGAAACAGCGAGGAGGAGGTGATGCTCATCTCCACCCGGCTCTTCCCGGCTGTCATACCCCTCACGAGATGCTGCGCACCACAGCCACGGAGCAAGCTGATTGGCTGCTGCACAGCCTGCCTCAAGAGCCAATAAGAGAGCAGCTCTGGGATGAGAAGGGCAGCAGATTCCTGTAATAGGAGAGTGTGTGGGAGTTTGTTTGAGGACTCTTTAAGCAAACTTATCACTGTGACTTTAAACATGGATACTGCTGAGTCAGCGCTTTGTCCTGTCCAGGAAACTAGTCCGACCTCCAAAAGTCCCAGAACAGATAGTCCTCACGACTCTCCAAAACTCCTGTGGAAAATCCTGAAGAGTGAAATCCAACCAGTTTGCAGACTGCAGCACAGCTCCAGTCTGCAAAATGCTGGAGCTGTGCTTAGTGTTAAAGGCCTTTCCAGGAAAACAGGAAGCAGATGCAAACATTAGGATAAACCCAGAACCTGCAGCAGAAACAGAGTCAGTCTAATTCTGCATCTTAACGTGAATATCTGCTCTGAACTCCTTTATCCTCCAGCACAGCCTGTAAAAAATCCTGTTTTCTGATAATGTGTGACATATGATGTCTCTTTGTGACCGGCTGCTGGTAACAAAGAGACCAAACATTCTATTTAAACAGTTTATTTGCTTAGTTGTCAGTTCTGTGTGGACACAAAACTGTCTCATCCCTTGAGTTAGAGGCCTTTATTCTGCCTGAATGAGTCATAGCTCAGAGTTAAGTGGCTAAAGAACCTGAAAATTAGATTAAAAACACAGAATACTCTGGTAGAAAGCAGGAAAACTGTTGATCAGGAACACATTTGAAGGGTAAAGAAGGTATAAATGTGGGCTGTTCAGGACTTGAATTCAGTATTTTCTGTATTTCATAGTATTTGATTTTAAACTCCTAACACCAAAGTTAGATAGAACTGGAACTGCCTGTTCTGACTGAATGCTACCTGTTGGTCATTATGCCCCAGTTTTCTAAAACTAATACTAAAACACATTTACTGTGGAAAAACACACAAATGTGAATTATTTGCAGCTCCTGTTTCAAAAGCTTTTGAGTTTCCACTTCCTGTAAGAGCTGCTGTTGGCAGATGTTCAGAGGTGAATCCAGATGTTACACTCTGCTTACTTTGGACACCAGCAGTGTGTTTGTTTGAGGTCGGTGTTCAGGACAGCTAAAGGAACACAAACATGAATCATAAGTCCTGGTCAGACATTCTGAGGCTTTAGCTTCTCTGCAGAAAGTTGGGAATTTTTGAGTTTGGGGCATAGCAAAATAAAAAAAACAAGCAGACTGTTCTCATGAAAAGTAACCTCAGCGATCAGCTCGTATCATGGGGCTGATTGCTGAGCCAAAAAGGCTACACCCGTCTTCATTTCACTCCAATATGTTCAAAAAGAAAGAAATATCAGTGTTGTAACAGATGTGTGTTAACAAAGTGATCTGATTTCAGCTGAAAAATCAAGGTGGAGTGAATGGATTTAAACCATTTTTTAATGGTACTTTCTCCATAGTGTTTCATTTCAATGTGCATAGGGGTGGAAATGTTATAAATTTATATATTCATTGAAACCATGGTTGTAACAAGTGATCAAATAATCTTTAATCAATATCAGAGTTGGAATAACTGCATTTTATTGGAATATAGTTCAAATAAATACATTTTTATTGGTATTATAGTTAGAATAAATGCATCAAAAACTTCCAGTGAGCAAAAAAAACATAAAACTGAATAAAAGTGTTTTTCTCCCACATTATATGAAGTGTTTTAGAGTTAAAATTAATCAAAGTATTTGCTTTTCACCCAGATTGTGGAAATTTGAATGATCACTTTGCAGCTTTGATGTTGACTTGCATTTAAAAATGCAAATGAGTCATTTGAGCTTCACAAAGAGCAGCTTGTTGTCACTGGGGGTGAAACACTGACAGTAAATGGCTGTTTCTCAACAGATTTGCTCACACACATCCTGTGCTGTGCTGTAAGTGGAGACAAACACACTCTGACCCCGAAAGCGTGCCGCCTCAGTACAACTGTGACAAACAGCAGCCTCCCAAACTAACCAAACACATCTGCTACCTTCCATTTGACGGTAAATGAAAGCAGAGACTCAGAAATAATGAGACAGATTTTAATGGAGGGAATATGGAGGGAGGAGACCACTGAGAAGGATTAGATTCTGACAGTCAGATCTTGAACAGATCTGAAAGGACCTGCCTCCAGTAAAAAAAAAATCCTGTGAAATTGGCAAGAGTCCAGTTATTGGAATCCAGTAATATTGCTGAGACCGCAGAAATGTTTGTAACAAACAGACACAAAATGTAACTAAAGACTACAACCTCATCAGAGGACGCAAAATATGGAGGGAATATTGTATAGTTTGTTAGGGTTAGTATTTTTGTGTATGATAACTCTATTTTTTGTTTGTGCATTTTTCTGTTCCTTCTGTGCATTTCAGGTTAGATTTAACTTCTCTATGATTATTCCACTATCTCTGAGGTATTCTACCTCTGTGATGGTTTTGTATTGTAGATTTACTGGGGGGGTTTCTGCTTTGTGTACGGTATGTTGAGCTAATCTGAGCTATTTTGTATCTTTTGTGTGTTTTTGGTAATATTTTCTCTCTTTTTTTAATCTTTCGTGTCTATACGTGTTATGTGTAGATGGTTTGCTGTTATTTTTGGCATTTTTGCGTCTGACCAATTTCCTTTTGGGTTCTTTGGGGAATTTTTGTGTTCAGTTTGTGTTTCTGGTATAATTTTCGCTGGTATGGCTTATCTTATGAATCTTTGTGGCTGCCTTTGCATAGAAACTGTGAAACTGATTATTATATCACTGTTTTAATTGCATTAGTCTCCATTTTATTGTCAGACTGTACTAGTACTATCAAAAACTAACTAAAATAGGGGAAAAGAGTGCGGAGAGCAACTTATGTGTCAGGATAAAACATCTGTATAAGGTGAGGAAATGAGAAAAGCACAAAGCACGCCAGCCGACACTGAGAGGAGAAAAATAAGAAGCAGAACCGGTTCCCTTTCAAGACCAAGTTTATGCTCATTGTGAGACAAAAATAGCAGGCAGGCAGTCAGAGCACCAAAAAGTGGACCAACGCTCCCTTCTGCCACCGGGGGCAACACAGGGACGAGCTAAAATATCATGCAACCATGTCTCAGGTTTAAAGGTTTAGTGTGCAGGATGGGGCGCCATCCTGTGGCTCAAACTGCAAAAAAAACAAACAAACGAAACACATGGGGATGCTCCAAAGTCTCCAAACTGTTTGCTTTGTCCCTCTGAGTGGGCGAAGACTGGCAGCCCACAGCAGCTTCACAAATGAACCCAAAATACAGTGAATGTTTTTACTCATTTTTACACCAACGAAAAACAACGTGACGCTTATTACATTGCATTCCTGTCAATAAACACGGCAGGGCATGGCCCAAAAGGGGCTGAAAGGATAGTAATGCTTGAGAAATGTTCCAGGACACCTTGTTTGGTGTTTGTCGGGCAGCCGGGGCTCAGAGGGGGGGGGGGGAAAAAAACCCCCCCCCCTCCCACCCGGAGGGGGGGGCTAAAAAAGCTTATAGATTAAGGTGCATGTTGTATAACCAGTACACTGTTACAACTATCAAAGGCAAAACACAGAGTGATGTCATTCTCAAATATGGGGGCCTCTCTCGGCTTTTTGAACCCGGGTTTTCCTTCGTTTGGACGTCTGCGTGGTCGTTAGCGTGGCACTGCTCATTTAGGTGCCATACATGTATTCTGGGATCACAAACACAGTTTCAGCCTCCGTCACCAGCCGCGTGTGTGTTCCGCTGGGCCTCGCCGTCCCGCCACCACAGAAGAAGAGGGCGAGGGGTGGCCGGGCATTACATGACGCTGCACTTCCCCTTCAGCTTGTCGGCTCGCTTCTGTTTCCCCGAGCGCTTGCCGTCGATGCTCAGGCTCATGTCCCTCTTCTTCTCCAGCGCCAGCAGCTCCTGGAACAGTTCTTTCACGTTGGTGTTGGTCTTGGCCGACGTCTCCATGAACGCGCACTTCCAGGCGGCGGCCTGGGCCTCCCCGTCCTTGGTCTGCACCTCCCGCTGGCCCGTCTCGTCGCTCTTGTTGCCCACAAGCATGATGGGAATGGAGTCCACGCTGCCTTTGATGGCTAAGATCTGCAAAAGCATAGAAGCACTCAGACCCACAATATCCATCACAACACGTGTTTGTAGAGCTCTGTGGGCTTCTTCTGGGGGACATGCTATGAGGAAGCAGGAGTGAGGAGGGGGAGGACCGCCTGGACCTTGACCAGGAGGAGGCTCTAGACTCCTGTACCACCAGGGGGGGGGGGGTTGCCTATTTTTGGCCTTTTGCTTTGTATTGTGGTCAGTTTTTGGCTGATTATTGTAGTTTTGCATCTGTTTCTAATAAATTTCTGGTCTTTTGCTATGCTTTTTTACAGTTTATGTCATCTTCTGCAGCCTCAGCAGAAACGTTTGTCTTTCTAGATGTCTGACTTGTTGTGGAGTAACTATTTTACTGGAGTGCATTAACTGGACTCTTGCTCATGTAACAGGAGCTTTTTTGTTGGAGTTGTGTCTGTTCTTCATAGCAGAAAACAGTTTGTTCTGTGTTTGACTGCTTTGACATCAGTGTATCTGCAGCTAGGATTGGATCCTGAAACGGTGACATCATTCAATCTGAGGACCTTTAGCTTTAAAATTGGGTGTAACATGCAGGGACAGAGAAAGAGCACCAGAGGAAAATTGAACCCAAAATAAAGGAAGGTTCAGGGGTTAAAACAAAGAAAGATTCTTCTGTGCAGCTGAAAGAAAATGAGAAAAGGGGGTTTGACCTGCTGGTAGATGGGCTTCAGCTCCTCCAGCGACTGGCGGCTGGTGATGGAGTAGACCAGGATGAAGGCGTGGCCTTTGGAGATGGACAGGCGCTGCATGGCGGGGAACTGGTGGCTGCCGGTGGTGTCGGTGATCTGCAGCGTGCAGACGCTCTTATCACAGCTGATCACCTGCAGACACAAACAGGGAGGTGTGTGGGCGGGGGGGCTCACGGCTCAAGAGTCCAAGGTTTTCGGGGGGGGCGGGGGGTTAAGTTCTCTGAGGTGTGTTTGTGCATCGTTAACACAGCTCCCTGTTTGTCTGGGGCCATCCGTTGGTCTGTGTGAGGTAGATTTAGACATTCACTTGTCATTTTTTGAGGTTGTTTGCCGTCTATTTACAATTGAGCTAAGTTTGTTCTAAGTTGTTTTAGAACTCTTTTTTTTTTAGTCTATGACAGATTTTTGTGTTTCTTATTTTCTTTCTTTGAAATTATTCTGTTTTTCTGGGGCTGTTTTATGTATTAATTGAGCTGTTTTGTGTCTCCCTTCAGTTGTTTATTAGCTGCTTCTTGCTTGTTTTTGTCTGATTGTCGGAAAACGACACAAAAAAGCAACTCTTCATACGTCCCACCTGTGTGTAGGTGTCCTCCACTGTGGGGATGTAGGTGTCTCTGAAGGTGCCCTTAACAAATCGAAGGACGAGCGAGCTCTTCCCCACCCCGCCGGCTCCGAACACCACCACCCGGTAGTCGTTACTCTGCTCAGGCATTCTGGGAGCTCAGGTCCACCTGCCCCTCTGGATCGATCACCTGTTGGCTGGAGAGGAGACAAAAGGGGCCGGATGGGTTATTTTACACACTTCACTCTTAAAATTACTTTTGTAGATTCATTTGTACTCAAAATTAATCTAATGAAAATGTTTTTTTTTCTTCATATACTGTCGACATCAAATACTGTTGATGAAGAAAACATCATTTTATCCATGAAATTGAATTATTTTTCAAGAAATGAGTACCCATAAACCTAACTTAATAGGAGCTGTCGTATCAGTTTTTGTTTTTATTTTTTGTCTTCAGCCTCAGTGTATCGTCATCACAGCGGGATGCTTCTGCCTTTACCTCCAAAATCTTCTCTCTGATTTTTGCTACAACAAACCAGTCAGAACACCAGAATTTCTGGTTTTAACTGATTAAAAAACCGGTGGTAAGACAATTCATACGACCGTAACTCTACTTTAGTTAAACATCTTTTCGCTTCTGATTATTCTTTAATGTTTCCGTCCGTGTATTTTTTACTTCTTTGTATTTTTGATCAGAACTCTGTAAATAAGTGAATGTTTGGCTTTCCTCTAACCTTGGTCCTCACTTTGCCCACCTCATACAGGGACAGGAAAGGCGGTCCAACCACATATCAGAGTTTTTCTGGCACCCTCATCAGGATCCTTCTGACGTGTTGGAGCCTCTGAGGACTCCAGCCAGAGATCCCAAACCGCAGCGTGTCGCAGTGGTCCGGTTTTAATCTAACTTCTCCCCATTGTGCTGGTGTTTCTGCCCCTGGCTGACGTCTCCACCTCCTTATCTGCTCAGCAGGCTCTGACTGGTGACCGCTCTGTCCCTCGTTAACCATTCTTTACGGCGGGCAGAGCACACACTCCTGAAAGCGTTCGCAGCCCCAGACGTGCTCTCTGTGTCTGCGTTGTCGTGGTTACCGGGCTCGGAGGAGAGACTCCTGCACAAACATGTCATCACCAGACAGAGGCTGCTGTCATGGCTACCCGCCCGCGCACAGGAAGTGATGTCAGGGGATGTGGGCGGGAGGGAAGGAGGGAAACACCAGAAATGAATCCTTCTAATTTTCCATCTCCAATGTTAAATGTTCTGGGAGAAAAAAAAACGTTTGTGTTCAGGGATGCCTCTTTGGTTCCTTCCTATGAGGAAAGGCCCCTGGGCAGACCCAGAACTCTCTTTAGGGATTATATATCCCATCTGAGCTCGGCAAACCTCAGGGTCCCCCTGGAGAAGCTGGAGAGTTTGACTAAATTTACCTCCTGGACCTGTTGCCCAGGTACTCGCCTTCAAATTAATGAAAGACTATTCCAGTCTCACGCCATTCTGTACAGATCAAAGGGTGCTGTATTAGTATTGCTGTGGTATTTGTATTTTTCCCGATAGAAAAGCCTAAATGTTAAGGGCTCTCCCAGAAAAAGTGGTGCTGTAGGGCATTTTTCTAACTTTACTCTTATGTTTAAAGACTCAAGTTAAAGGTTTTGGTGTTTTAGTGAAGCAGATCTCACAGTTTCACTAGCCTTTACTTAGAATGAAACATTTTCCTGAAAGCCTTGAGTTTTTTCTGTCCTTTTTGGATACCTTCCATGGAGAGCATTTGGCTTTTTCTGCTTTTTCTATCAACTTATTTTCCTCATTAAGGGGAATCTGTCTTCCACAGCTGTCTGAAAAGCTGTGAGAATATTCAACAGAAGCTGTAACGTTTCTGTGGTGATGCTGGATTCCACAGGCATGACAAGCGCGCGCGCGCACACACGCACGCACGCACGCACCCACATGCTGCTTTGTTCTCACTCAGCGGCAGCCTCATTATCTCCTCACATCACGGAAAACCTGCGCGAGGGTGACCCGCGCACGCGCGCCGGCTGGACACGTGCGCCCTTTCCATTACATAAACGTGCACAAAAGCGCACGCACGCAGGGATTAGAGACGGAACAGAAGCGGTCAAATGACCCCGACCCCGAGGCTCCCTTTCCCCGGTCCACGTTGGCTCATCTTACCCGGATGACGGTGCCTGCTCGTGGGGCTGAGAGTGCGCGCAGCTGCCGGTGTGGGGGTGCTCTCTGCGGACTCACCGAGGCTCTGCGGGTCCTCTGGGTTCCTCCCTGCGGATGAGTGCGGGGTTGGTCTACTCCGGAGCGGCTGTGAGCATCCTGAACCCTCCGCTGTCTGACTCACACCATCCTCATCACCATCACTCCTGTTTCTGATCCGCACCCTGCCAACCTCATCTTCTTCCTCCTCCTCCTCCTCCTCCTCCTCCTCCTCCTCCTCCTCCTCCTCCTCCTCCCCCCTGCTCCATCACTCCTTCCTCTCCTCCTCCGACTACAAAAACAACACACAAGACTTCCGCTCCGATTTCTTTTTCTTTTGACTTCCAGAATAAAAATCTCCAATTATGACAATAATAAACAGGATAAATCAATAAAAAAATAAGTCAAATAAGAAAACAGAGAGCATTCCAGCAGCATGAGACCACAGCCGCCTCCCACTGTTAGAGCTTCTTCTTTAAATGTACCCAGAAATAAAGGTTTTAGTCTGAAAAAAAGTTTTTCAAAAATGATAATGAGGCTATTTTGCATTTTAGTTTGGAGGTTTACCAGCCGGAAGTCTTAATACCAGCATCACTCAGAGGACTAAAAAAATCCCATTTTCACTCACACCTTCACCTCCATCAACGTCACTCAGACGCGTCACTGGGGGAGAAAATAGAGCAGCCTGAAAATTATAAAACACCACTCATGAGTCGTGTCAGGTTGCATAAGGAGGAAGATTCAACAATGGCTATGTTTTACCGGATGAACCAGATTTCAGAAGTTTAAGCCATCATTTTATGACCAAATCGAACAAAAAAAAGGCTTTGGCAGTTAAACTCAAATTTGATTCTTTATTAGCAGAGGAAATAAAGTCCAATAAAAGGTGATTTAAACAGATGAAACCCATTTAGAAAGTAGGAATCTAATGATCAAATACTATAATTGTGTCATAGGTGATAGTTTTTTTCTTCCATATTTGGAAAACCTATGTTAAGGGTTTCCCACAATAAATCAGAAATATGTGTTTTAGGTTTTCTGATAATGACAAAAGGAAATATTCAAGGTATTTTCTGACATCAGTGTTTACAATCAATTGGTTTATTATCTGATGGCCAGACATATTTTCACTTCCTCATCTACAAAGCTAAACAACAGGAGCTCTAACTTTGTAATATGTGGTCTTTAAAGTCCAAAACATGTCTATGTCTGTTAGAATTGGTCATTGTCCCTTTATGTTAGATAAGCCTACCTTAATGACTTAGTCGTTGCAGTTTTTCAGAGGAATTTGAGCCGATTCCTGTTTACTTACAGATTTCAGACCACTTTCATCCATATGGAGCCATCCATCCAATCCCAGACTGTTTGTTCCTCCTTTCTGGGAGGAAAGACATCAGTTTTCCCCCAAGCAGCTGAAACTTGGACTCATTGTCCACTGTGTGTGTGTGTGTCCTCTGAGATAAGCCCAGGGCTGAGAGAGGTCACATTTCTGGATGAATTTGTTGGTGAAAATAGTTATCCAGGCTCCCCCTGAGCTCATGTGACTGTATGGATCATGGTGAGTGCCGGAATAGACACCTTTGACTCAGAATTTCTTGTTTACAGATGCTGAACCACATTTATCCATGGCGTGTTATCAGTGTTTGTTGTATGAGCATGCAGCCGGAACTTTCTAAGCCAGTTGAACACTAAAAGGCCTTTTCAACAAGTTTTTTCAACCTTTCATCCCAAGTTTTTCCCTGAAGGGAGTTGGGGTGGTTCACAGGTCACCTCACAGCCAAAGGGTTCCTGGTTTAAATCCTGGTGGTTCTCCCTGTGGATGTGTAGGTTCTCTCCGAGTGCTTAGTCCCCCATGGACCAAAAGTATTTATGCAAGTTGCCCAACTGGCAAATGAAAACTTATGGATGTATTAATTAGTCTCAAATGTTGTTGGTATGATGTCAAGACAGCAGTAGTGAAATATTGAATCACCTATCTTTTCAGGGATTCTTTCTTTAAAATTTGTCTGAAATTTGTATTTTTTTGTTCCAAACAATTGTCTGGAGAGCAATCAGTGCCGAAATTTGAGCGTTTTATTTTTTGGGCGATTAAATGTTTTTGTCTCCCTCTGCTGGTGGTTAGAAGGAACCGCAGAGAAAAACAGGCGGGTCATCTTTGTAAATGAGCACTTTGTGGCACAATTTGGGTGAATGTCCTGCTTTGAAAACACATATTAACCAGTACGTATAATTCTGGAGAAATATCTTAACGTTTGATACATGATTTGAGACTAAATGAGACTTTTTGCTAGTGCTTTGGGCTTATTGTGATGTCACTTCCATTTCTCTGAGAGCTGTCTGTGGAGCTTTGAGGTTCATCAAAACCAAATTAAACCAAATTTGAGGCACAACAAGCATCTTCTCCACACCCCAAACTGAACTACCCGCTGTTTTTTTAAAGGCCATCAAATACTGTTGTTAGATATTGTTAATGTTTACAGGATTGTTGTGTCGTATCTTAATCGTTATTTTTCAATTGGACATCCACGAGGACTAAGGATTTCATTAATTTGCATGGCTTTGTATTACAGTCAATCGACATGATTTATACCGTGTTTAATTGGTAATATATATATAAAACAAATATAATAAATAATGTGTGAATGTTTGGTTTAGATTTGGATAGAGATCGGTTTTGATCTATTCCTCCTCCCCTCCGGTGCAGCCACCCCTCCTCCCTCTTTCCTCTCATCCATCCTCTCCCTCCTCTTCGTCAGTGATCTTCAGCTCTGGACGGAGTCATGAGGTAAGGACCGAACGCTGCTTGTTTTCGAGCTTCTAATCTCACCTTTTGTCTGATTCGTTATGCGAGATTTCCATCCGGACCAACCCATTTGGCCTTCACTGGTTTGGTTCGGTTCGGCCCGGTTCTGTTCGGTTCACCCCGTTCGTATGGATTAGAAACGAAAAGACAGGAGGAGTATTCTGGGCATATTAAAGGTGTAATTCGTTCGGTAAAAGCTGCGGTTTGAGCCTTAAATGGGTGGATTTGGGGCCGCGGTGCGCCCTGCGTTCGCTCCTCATGCAGGATGGAGGATGGAGGATGGAGGAGCTGATGAATCATAGACGTCGTCAGAAAAAAAAAAAAAGCAGCAGCCGAAATTAGGTCAAATGTATAAAGAAATGAAGAAATATCTAAAAGGTGGCTGCTGCTCTGGGTCTGATGCATTTCTGTTTTACCTGCAGCAGCTGCGTTTGTGCGGGTTTTTAGGCTGAAAGTCACATTGAGCTCATCCACGATCTGGAAGGGCCTCACACGTCTCCCCCCCCCCGTCTGCCCCGGCCTGCGCGGCCTTCATCATTCAGAGCTGTTTCATCATCACTGGTGCTGCTGGCCTTTCAGTCGCTGTTTGTGGGTCTTTTTCTGGGTCTGTTGTGGCCCCACGCTGCAGTCTGAGGCTTTTTGTGTGATGAATGACTTTGATCTCCACGGTGATCCTGCTGGTCAGAGGAGGCTCTGCTGGCTCTGTTAATGGTGGTTTGTTTTGTTGAGTTACAGCATGTGCGCACATTGTTTTTTTAAAGGGTTAGGGTTCGTATACATATTTGTGTGTGTATAGATAGATAGATAGATAGATAGATAGATAGATAGATAGATAGATA